ATGTAAACTCCCCCCCCCCCCCCCCCCCTCCCTCCAAGGCTTGTTACACTGACAGGTTTTGTTAATATCTGTAGTAGATACTTTGCTGTCTGGCCACTGATATATTCTCTCTTCCATCCTTCTGTGTACACAAATGTCCTTTCAAAAAGGGATATGTAATCTTTCAATGTGAATTCTAATTCAAAGCTAAATCTGAACCAGTCCACACCAGACCATCTCTTCGCAAAGCAGAGTGACCCTTGATTAGCATTTCCTCAGTATGGTCATCACTAGAGGGAAAGGCTTTTTTGGAATGGGTAGTGGGGTTAAGGGACTAGCCTTATTCCAAATTAGGAATAAGCCTGAAAAGTCCTAAAGTGTCATGTTGGCAGCTTTAGTTGCATCTATCCCTGCTGTTAATCATCAGCTAGTTTCTCTAGGTAGAGAGAGGACTTCTGTTGAGATTTGGCTAAGGAGAGGATAGCAGTTTTGAAGAAGTTTCATGCGGCACAGAGAGATGTAAATTGAGACTGGTAAAGAGAGATACAAATTGCCATATCACATGCGGTTCTATATAAACCGGTAATCTGACCACGGTAGTATAAGGGAACAGATAAACAGGGCAGTAATCTGCACTGACAAATAAAGAGAGAAAGGCAGATAAGGTGTTGTCCATCTCACAGATGCCCCTTGCCCAGTTCTAAGAGCAACAAGTTTTGACTTGGTGCAGAAGAGAAGAGAGAGCCAATAAAGCAGTGTACCTTGAGGTTTTTTTCAGGGGCGCCATGGGATGCCATGCAATGTTGGGACTGTTAGGTGTGTAGAGATGATTCACAAGATGAACCAAATGATTTCAAATAAGAATCCATAGGGTTAAAAATATTCTGACCAGTTGTAGTCTTTCTGAATTCTTTGCAACAGACAAGTTACTTTAATATTTTTCTGTAAAAAAATGAGTGAAAACTAAGAGCTGGCAGTTTCTGAGGGGTGACCTGAGTCCAAAAAGGTTGAGAACCACTGCAATAAGGACTTGAAAAGAGTCGGTAATGAACTGCAGGCAGGTCAGAGGATCTTAGGTACAGTATCTTATAGGGTGTAGAGCATTTTATTAATAGATTTTATTAGTGGTACAGAGCATTTTATTAGTTGTGTAGAGGCCAGACAAGGCAGTTTACAGAGACTGTCAGTCACACTTCTTCCTCTTTATACTAACTCCCAACATAAGGAGAGGAGATCAACAAAAATTCAAATATAGATTAGGCCCGTTCCATTGCTTGTTTGGAAGAAGTTTGAGTTACTATAACATCTCTGCCCCACCTAAAGCAGGAGATGGGACCAAATGACTGACAAGGACTCCTGTTGATGGAATGTTGCAAGGCTTGTTAAGGCTATGCTCAGTGACATGACCCTTTTTTTTTTTTTTTATGGTAATCCTTGTTGAAGCATCATGTTTCTAAAACGCTGCAAATGTTTGTCCCCATCCAAGGACCTGGGGATTAAAGGAGTGCTGGATATAGATGCAAAATGTTGAGTTCAAGTCATTTTCTGTATCTTGAATCCACAGCATTGGGTTGGTTTGGGGTTTCTGCTTTGTTTACCAAGTTACTGAAGCTTCAATAAATAAATGCTGTGTGTATTGGCACTTCTGGCATAAATGCCTGTCTGTCACAGAATCTTTCCCATCAGAGAGAGTTAAAGGGAAAATGGCACCTTTTTCTCTGTGGAACAGTGGTTGAGCAAGGTACATCTATCTCCATTGGCAGTTCCTGCACTCTCAACACTCTGTCAGGATCAGCTGCCTTTTAAATGGACTTTTTCCAAGGACTGAGGGACCTGGTCTTACATGCTCTGATTTATACTGTAGATTGCCACGTGTTCTGATGACAACACTGTGAGAGTCTGGCGCTTAAATCGTGGCTCTGAGGAGAAGAACCCAGCATCTGATCGTGTCAATTTGGTGGGTTGGGTCTGTCAGAAGAAACTGGATGAGCAGAGTGCAACAGGTAAGACCCTTAGGTGATTTTGTCCCACAACACAGGGGTATTCCCTGTGCTGGCCTTGGCTGCTGGCCTTCACATCTTTGAGCTAGGAGTGCCCAGCCTCGCTCCATTTCTGTCTGTAAGTACTCTCACTACAGACTAAAGGAGCTGGCCAAGACTGTTTTTGTAGTTATGCTGCTGCATGCAGGATGTTGGCCTTGGATGCAAGGCAGGTATTAGTTCATACAGTTTCTTGAGCACTAGTAAATCACTGGACACAGGGCTTTGTAATTGCTGTTGTCAGACCCTACTCTCCCTGAGCACATGAAAGTAACAGGCAAATTTGAAAACGCTGACAAATGAATTTAATGCATTTCACTTTTCTTTTGAAACTGATGAACATTTTTAGCACAGGTACTCTACAAACATTGTCCTGACCTATATAGAGTACAAACTATGCATGATATTAGGTCAAGAGCCAAAAGACCTATGAGTAACCATATAGTTCATTGGGCTGGGCCCCAGCAGAGTCAACAGCGCTTCAAGCCATTGTGATCCCATAGCTCAGCACTGCTCAGTGTATTTGTGTACTCCAGAACCCTCCTCCCCTTCCCAAAGGATCTATTTGCTAATTACACCCCCTCAATCCCCCATGACTGGGTGTTCTTATCATGAGTCCTGCCATCCTCCAAAAAATTGTTTGCAGAGAGATGCAGGACACCCTGCTTTTGTTCCATCGCCTGGAGGGCAGGGCCACACTACTCTAACTATGCATGGCCCACACTAGTCATATGCAAGAGGCTTAGGGAGGGGGTGACAGGGATTTGGGGTGAACTGTTTTGGGACCCCATTTGATGTTTAGCAGACATTTTAAGGCTGGTGAAGAAACAGGAATTACTGGGAATGGGAAAGAGGCACAGATCATCTACAGGAGTGAAGAAGTCGAAAAGTATGCAATGTAGTAGCTAACCGTGACTTGGAAAAGAGTCAGCACTGAGAGGGACTGAGTGCAATGGTCACTACCATACATCTTAGTCATATGGGCTACACTAACCTAGCCTTGGGGTCAGTTCCCATCGGTATGTTTGCCGTATGTTTTATAATCCTGCTCAGCATTGGCTGCATTTTAATTAGTTTCATAGTTGTTTTCCATTACTAAGCTCATGCAGCTTTTGACAGCAGTTTAATGATATACAATGTATTTAATGAGGCTTCCTTATGTGTAACTGTAATATGAGTACCTGGGTGGGGGACCTCATTTTATACTTGAATAAATACAGTAGATCTTTATTAACCACAGTAACAGTATTAGGGTTAACTTGCTGGGGAATAGCAGCTAAAGGCAATAGGGTCTAATGTTTGCACAGGCCTAGTATTCTGTCTAATAAAGGGTATACAAAGCCTTGGAGCTTGGAAATTTTTCCTTTTGCCCAGCAAGATGAGTTCCACTGAATAGCAGAGTATCTGCTTGTCACAAAAGCAAAAACTTCCTTTCTATAGGATAGAGTAACTTTCCAGCATTGTAGGACTGTGTGCAAACATGCTTATAAACTCCTGTATCTCAGGAGAAATGTAATCCTCAGTTGCATTTGCTTTGCTTCAAACTAGTGTTGTAGCACACATCACAGTACACTTTTACTGCAAGCCCCAAATCTTTGCAGTTTGGTGACTGCATGGGTCCATTTTAGAGATTCTTTTGCTGTTCACATGGAATATATTCATAGATATTCCAGAATAAACAAATAACTGAACACAGTAATTTTTCATTCATCAGCATGTTAGCACTAGTTAATAAATACCATCCCCTTTTTGAGGGTGGGGGATCAGAAAGACTGTGATGTGTTAGAATTGGGAGACACCAAGTGTGTTGAGGATGGGCGCAGAAAGGAGGACCTGAATTATAAACACACTGCTGGAATTCCCCATCTAGTGAAATTTAATGTTTCACCATCTCTAGCACTTGCTTCAGCTGTTCTGAGCTGCTGTCGCCTTCCAGAAGGAGAGGTGATTTTATGATTTTGGGGTGTGCCCACATTGGAGAGGCCTTGAATCAGACCGCTAACACAATTTGTGTTGAATTTATATTTACTCTTCCACTGTTGTATGACAAGATGAAAAGGGGAAGGAACAAACCCACAGAAAATTGAAATAAGAAAAGCTTCTTTCTGATACAGCTTTAAGACTGAGATCAAAAATGACTTGGCAGTGGCTGACCAATGTCATTTCCTGTGTTGCTCCATCTCCCTTACCCACTTTCCAAATGAGTTTCACCTTCACAAATGTAAATACAACTGGAAAGTTTCCTAATCCCCCTTAGTGGGATGACATTAAAGATAGCCCTTGCCAGTGCTTAACTGTCTTTCAGGAAACAGGGAGGACAATAGATGGGCAAATGCCAGCTCGTTTCCCCTGTTGGTCCACCTGCATACACACAGACGTGCACACACTCTCTCAAACTTTGTTTCAGTGAGCTGCTGAGAAACCATTTTACATTTTATTCCCAAGGAAGGAAATCTGGACATTAGTCTAGAAGCTTGGAAACCAAAAGCAACCTTTATGCTGTGTCTTTACAAATCAGGTTTGGCAATTATACTAGAAAAGATATCATTCCTCCTTGTTTTCTCTGTATTAGAACAATCCAAGAGGAAAGAGGAAGCACACAGACTTTGCAAACACAACAGCAGGCTTCCTGCTGACCTTGGCTCTTTGAACACAAAACACATGCTGTTAGAGTACGGGATTTATCTGCAAACTGATTTATAGTTGGCTAACCAAACTGTTTTGGAACTGCCTGGATGAAAGTTCGGTAGCGTCTCACCCTCTTACTTGGAACAAATTGTGATGTTGTGGCTGTGTGCAGACTGCTGGCCTATGCTATTAAATGTAGCAAGCACAACTTCCTTTTCTCTGGAACGTAGGTGTGTGATGGATTGCTCTATACTTGTACAAAACAGGCTTTCCAGAGCTGGGCTGCATCTTGAATTAGTGATGCTGGATTCTGGAGATTTAAAATTCATTTTCTAGAGCAACTTTAGGCGTTCTTCTGTTTAACTGGATACTGTTAGACCTGAACAGTATTCATTCGATGACCAGCTTGAAAGGGTGCTTGTAGATTTAAATAAAATAGCCTTGTAGAATGCCAGTTAAGTGGAAACAATAGCCATGGACAAGACTTGTTAAAGGGTTTGAATTCTGAATGTTTCTGAATATTTTTGGTTTGGGTACCAATTCCTGTAGAAAAGGTTGGTGTTTGTATTCTGGACCCAGCATTGGGAGGTTGGCATTAGAGTTGCAGGCTCCCTTTCATCATCCCTCCCACCAAGCACATAAATTAAGCTAGCATTTTTTTTCCTTATGCAGGCAATCCAGAGCATGTCTTTCATACTGGGTTATATCCTCTTTCCAGAGATTATGCCAGTAGCAGCAAACCCAGTCCCCCAGTCCCTAGTTTATGAATTTGTAGGTAATCGCAGAGGATTGGGGCGGCTGAGATTTACTACCCCTCCCTTCCACTTTCAAAATCTTGCATCTCCAAGCACAACTAATTCTCTAGTTAAGATATAGTCCTGGAGTGCTCATTAAGGCAAAAGGCAAGATCTTATTAAGGTAAATTTAAGGTCTTCATAGAAGTGACCATTCTATAAATTCATAATAACCTGCTACTAACTGGACTAGCACATTTCATTGGGAAAGGAACATACATGCTTTAAAGTTATTTGATGCATTTGCATTGGGATCCAGTACTCGATCTATTTTTCTCCGATGCATCAATATTTGTATTTAAAGTACTGAGTAGTAATATAATCCTCAGGAAGGATAAGAATCAAAAGAAGCTTTATATGGTTTGCTACTGAGAGATTATATAGGTGCTTACACTATACAGGTCTTACCAGCAAGAACACAGTTCTAAAGAAAAAGGCAGGTTACCTGCACTAGACTTCCCATCATCCTAGCAAAGTACTTTACAACATTCCAGCTGACTCTGAGAATTAAGGGTTTCAGATTATAAACCACTTGTATGCAGAAAATGCTCAGAGTCCTCTTGCTCCCTGTAGAAAACATCAAGTAGTTAATGTGATATCTTAATGTTATATCACACCAACATAAGGCCAAAAAGATTCCTTCAGATGTACATAATTTCAGTATCTACAGATCTTGGACAAGCAACTAGTGTATCCTTTTCAGGATACCTTTTTGTAAACATTTAATCTGAGATGTAGCACAGAGATCTATCATCAGATTTCTGGTACGTATTAAACAAGTTATGATTCACTTTATAACAGAGGTATGAATTCATTTGAGTAGATGGATTTAAAAACAGTATTTTTCCCCCTCTCCAGCATGGCTTGTGACTTCTGTAGCCACTGTGCTAGATGTCCAAGTCCATTCTTTTCTTTTCAATTATTTGTCAAAGCAGCATTTATTTTCTCTTGGAAATTTTCTTTATACAAGATGCAGGAAATTCCTAGCATGACATTTTTTACTTTAAATAATTAATTGATGCCCTGAACCAATTTATCCTTGCAGAAAATTCTAGGAGAAGGACTGTAGAAGCAAAGTATGATCTCCTTGTTTTCTCCGTTTTGCCATTTTTCCTGGCCTATGACCATCAAAGCTGTGCTGGGACTCAACTATGTTGGAGAGCATTCCACTCTAAGGCTTTATCTATATTATAGCTACCTGTGGAATCTGACCATCTCCTGACCCAGTTCAACACTGTCATAAATTGTAGATAGCTGAAATCTAACTTTGTCCCCATAACTGAACTCTAAAGCCTTTGTCGGTTCTGGACTTTAAGTGAACTAAAAGGACATGGGTCATATGTACAGTATGTCTAATTGTGCTGACTGGTGCCTTGGTTATAGCTGTTGTGGACAGGGACCCATGTAACATCCTCTGGATTAGATGTGTTTTCATTTCTTCTCAGCTCAGGGGTGCTAGGTAGCAACATTCTCAGACAAGATCAGTGATCAAAGTGTTTTTTTAAGCCTTCTGTTTCAGTTACCTGATTGCAGTTCACTTAAATGGATATATCAGAAACCAAATAAGCATTCTCTGGGATGGGATTTTCAAAAGCACTCAGTGTTGGCCTAACTCTGATGCCTTGACATGGGTGAGTGTTAAGGTGTTTAGACCTAGAGGGGCCCATTAGAGAAATAAATCAGGTGCTGAAATCAGAACCTCAGGGTATCCAGAGGTGCTCCTATTAAGGCTTACTTTGCTGCTGCTATACTACATGACTTACCTGATTTTATTTTGTTTTCTTTCTTTTTTTCCTCTTCTATCAGGACTGCCAGCCAGCAGAGAGAATACTCCTGCCAAATTCCCCATGACTGGTAACCCTTGTACTTCCTCACCACGTCAAGCAGCTTGTGCTCCAAGCTGTTTGGGTGACCTTCCTCTTTCCACCAATACTCCAACATCCTCTCTCAAGATCCCAACAGCCAAGGCTCACACTCCAGCAAAGCAAAATGACACTACTTTGGGTATTTCTCCCAAACAAGCATCTTGCTCCAAGATGTCCATTACCCATTGGGTTACCAGGACTCCATGCTCTTCCCCACCAGAGACTGGAATAAAGACTCCATCTCCAAGAAAAGCTCTGACAGATGTCACGCAGAGTGTCCCAGAGGCCATTTGCACTCCCAGAATACCCCACTTGCACTCAGTAAAGCGAGCCAAGAGAAGACTTGAGTCTAGCAAGGAAGATCACCTGGGGCAGAAGTGTCTGAAAGGCTGCAGCTGTGTGACTGAGTTGGACCCAATGACTAAGAAGTCCAAACTGAATTTGTGCCTTTTGGAAGCAAGTCATAAGACTTGCAGTGAAGACTGTCTGTGCCTTGCTGAGTTGAGTAGTAGACTTGAAAGCTGTAGCCAGAACTCAAAGGAGCCTTCTCCTCCTAAAAGTCCCCTTAGTCCAGCAGGCTTCCAAACTCTTCCTTTTCAAACCTCCTGTCAGAAAATGGCTGACATGTCAAACAAAGAAAATAGTTCTCCTGAAAAGAAGGATTGGCTTTCTGCTCTCAGGGAGAAGTTAAAGACAAATAAGGCCAGGAGCCAAAATTCATCAGGCAGCAGCGCCCCCTCCTCTCGGACAAGGCGACAGGAGGCTGTGACCGCAGTCACTCCTCCAAGACATGTAAGTAAGCAAAGCATGGTTACAGCAGCAATGAAAGGGTTCATCTCCAGAGCCCATTTTCCCTTTGTAATGTGTGTATGTTTAGCTTCCATTTGCAGGGACCTAACTTCTATGCATCAAAGAGAGCATTAGACCCCACTAGTTGGGAAGGGGGACAGGGCAGAAAGAAATGAAATTAAATCTCTCCTAACAAGCTCCAGTTCTGTGTCCCATACAGTGTAATGCTATTATCCCTCAGTCCTACTCATACTCTTAGACGTTTAGAATTAGGATTTTCATAAAATGGCTAATGTTGCCCATTAGAACGTGATCTGGGACCAAAACTAGCAAAGGAATTCTTGTTCTCAGTAGGACATTGTCATTTACTTTTTATAGCAGAACTGCATTGTATCTAGGTGGCACTACCTCACTTGGCAGATCTTGTGCTCACATGTATGCACAACCACATCTACCCACTTCAGTGACCTAAATTGACTCCCACTACCAAGAGGGCCAACCCAGCTTTGAGTTAAAAAAGCTGACTTGTATTCTAGTTCTTGCATCAACTGTTTGTTACCCAGTTGCGGAGCTGAAGTCTGTGGAAACCCCTGAAAAAGAGATTGCGCAAGCATTGGGGGGCAAAAAGTGGCTACAGAATCCCTGCCACTTGTAATATGCATGTGCACAGGCAGGAACACAGCTGGACAATGGTATCTTCGGGTGAGCTTTCAGAGCAGCTAACAATTGGCATGTTGAGTGTGAGGTCTTTCTAGCATGCTACAGGGTAATGGAAACAATAGATGTGGAATCCCCTGATGCCTGCAGTTTCCAAAGTCCAGTTTTGGAGTAGAGCTGAGTCTTGTGTACATTGCAACAATCAATTCTCAGTCATCAGTTTTACTAACTTTTTAATTATGCTCTAATTTGAATTCTGATGCTAGAAAATAACTTGAGCTACAAATTACACATCAGCTTGTCATAATGACTAGGGCATGTTTGGGCAGTGTGTCTTACAGCATTTGGGTTCATACAAAGGCTTAAGGCTCTTGTGTGTGCAGCATTAGTCTAGTGCTACTAGATGGTGATGTTCACTGCCATAAAGGATTATGATTGACTCAAATCTCTTTCCTAGGTTGCAGCTGATCCAGTTCCCATGAGGAAGATTTGCACATATTTCCATCAAAAGTCACAGAATGACTCAAGGGGTGCACTGCAGCAGAACCTTACACCTGATTAGAGACACCACCAAGACTGGATTTTGAAACTCTGAAGGAGGAAGGCGCTGGGATTACATAATATGTTGTTGCCCATAATAAAATGAAGTTGGACTTATTCTCTTGTTTTTAAAACTTTTATAGCACCAAGATTAGTGAAGCATGAAACACTTAGAAGATGTTGATTAGTGGAGGTTGTATTTCATTAAGCTGAAGTAGGTGGTGCACTTTTAAAATCTGTTGTGTTTGAACAAGCCACTGAATTAGTGCTTTTCACGCAGTATTGGGGAAACCTAGTTATCTTTGGAACAGTATCTTGGCTGTGTGGTATAACGTAGTTGCACAGTTTCAGTTTATATTATGTCTATTTTTTAAATCTTCTGTACATAACAGTATTGTGCAAAACACACTCCCTTTTTAGAGGTGCTGACAGAAATGTCTGGAAAAATTATTCTTGGAGATAGACTTGAGCCATTGTTTCCATGGAAGAGTATTTCTGCTAATGCCTGTTGTATAGCAGTTTCTCCTCTTCTAGCAAAGACTATTGTAAATGTGACTTATTCTTGTAAATATAGAACTTTAATATTCCAGGTTGTGTGTCTGTCTTCAGTTTTCTCATGGTGTATGTGGAATCTGCAGTATAAGGGAAAGATACAGCACTGTATTTTCTCACATACAAAATGCACCTTTTTTCCAGATATCAGCTGCCAAAAAATGAGATACATAGTATAAGAGAAGAAATACAGAAACTGCTATTACTGTATAGTGTATCATAAACCGCTGCATGTAAGGTGGGAGGGAAGGGGAAAGTAATGTTGCCTCTTCTGCACTGGGAGCAGCAGAGTGAGCATGTCGGGCTCCCTAGCTGCCGCTACTCAGTTTCTTAGTGATACTTGCCAGTATTTTCAAGGAAAGATCTCCTTTTTTTTTTTTATTCTGCATTTCAAAAACGAGGTTTGTATCTTTATTCCAGGGCATGTTGCATTTGAGAAAGTATGGTGTATCCACAGGTGCCTTCATTCTCAGACCCCCCAGTCTACAACTTTCCCCACCCCAGAGTTTGCTTGCTTTGAGATGATGGATGTCAAGGCTGGAAATGGGGACCATCAGAAGTTATCAGGTTCTTAATCTACCCCAAACCAAACTGTTTTTTGGAACAGACATTGTAGAACAGCTAGATGCTTAAAGCCCTTTTATGCAGGCAGCTGTAATTAAAGGGACTAAACTTGGTATGAAGTTGGAGACAGACTAAAAAAGCATTTGCTAGCTCTAGGTGATAGAGTTAATGCTTTAACACTGGACTTCAGAGATAATATAATTTTGTACTGTGATCGTCAGGTAGAGAAGGTTTTCCCAAACAGGATAACAATCCTACAGTTAATGCCACTTATCACCATGTTTGATGGAAGGTCTGAAACTGTTTGCTGTTGCTGTCATATAAGGAAGGTACGTCAAGGGGCAATTATGAGTCAGATTAGTCTACTTCATCTATTCAAATTAATAATAACCAACTTGCAAATTGGGCTCAATACAGTAGTAATTGGACAAAGTTCTATAGCTTTGGTCAAATTAAATGATTTAATAGTCTCTTCTAGCCTTGAAAACCAATGAATTTGCCTTTCTTTCAAGTCCCAATATTGGATAAGTAGTAAATATAGTTTAAAAGGGGATAATCACAGTTTTTTATAGCTGAATTTTTTACACCTATTAGGCGACATCTAACTACTATAACTAAAAGGAAGTAGAAGGGAAAAGTTGTTAGTGCATTGCATCTGATGTACTCCTTCATTAATTCCTTGGCATTGGTAATTTCCTTGTTTGTGTAAGCCTTAGACACAGCACCAGGGGAAGAAACACCAACATTTTTTGTTTTTTAACCACGTAATGTAAAACTACAGCTCTTGGCAGGAGTGCTCAAGGGCAGGCATAGAACCTGAAACACACTCCCTTATGCTCTCTCTACTTAATTTCAGTTTGACAACCTTCCCTTTAGCCCTAGAAAAAATATCAAACTACAGAACTTAAAAATAAAATATTATGTACCTGCCATTTGTTATAGCTCTGGCTTTCAAAACTGGAGCTTTTCCAGGGGTATCTGTGTAGATCCAGTATCATGGGCTGAACAGGAATGAAACTGACATTTTGATGGTGATCTACTTTTTGAACAGCAAATATGATCTTAATAGATGGTTGATGCTTAAACTGAACATGTAAGAAAAACTGAAGTCAATAGGATAGTTGTAAAAAGACTACTGATCATTAAAGTCAGATTTAAATAAAGTATATGAACATGGCCAAACTCTGTTCTGTCCCACAGGAATTCTGTGTCATTGCTTTGTGAGGGAGAAGGTACAAGGACACTAAGAATGAAAACCTGACCCTACTGAAATAAATTGGATATTTTGCTATAATTTGGACCAGTGCTTCAAAGTCTCTCGTTTTCTAGGAAGAAATGCACCCAACCCCATCTCTTATCTTTACTGTACAAACTGGTAATTCAGTGGTGTAGAAATTCTAATAGTGGAACATTCCTGGGTGAATAAATCTTGCATTGGAATCTGAGACTCCTTCTTTCAAAGCTGTATGTGTGCGCTAGAACGGAACAGCAAGCTGTACTTACTGCTTACCCCTGAGCTAAAATCAATCTGGCTAAGAGTACAGGGGGGACAGTAACCCGAGCTTCTGTGCTTATATAGTCAGTGATGAGAGCTAATCCTGATAAATAGCCTATTCCAGGGAACTAAGAAAGGAGTCATCAGTATTAATCACTTACTTGATGTGACAGGCTTGCTTTCAACCTGTGAAGAATTGCACAATATATGGCTTGAGCTAACTAGTAATATCTTTAGCTAGGACACCTGCTTTTAGGCATTTAAAAGGGGTGAAGACTCCAAGCAACTGAGCTACCTTGCTTGTCTTGAACCAACCAACCACATTTTATAAAAGCAGTCCCTCTTGGGTCCCCAGTTACTCTCTAATTCATGTTTTGTAATAAATTAAAAGCCCTCAATAAAATTCTTTACAAACTCCAGTCCTCCAACTCTTCTCTACCCCTTAAGGACTCCTGTCTTTTTGGGTTTTGTTTTTTGTTTTTTTATTCCAGGATCTTTATCCTGTACCACCAAAAATATAAAAGATTACATATTTTTGTTGCTGGAAATTCTGCTACAAATCTTTCTGTCTCCTCTTAAGAAGCAGTAAGCAGTGCAGAAACTTAGTCTCTTTTTTATGCAACTTACATTTCTGTTGTCAATAGCACTGTTTTTCATTGGGTCTTGAGACTCACTGCCTATGATAACTAGTACTGCCATTTCCCCTTTGTTTATCAGCTTTTTCTAGCTGATGTATTTAATTAGTTCCCACGTTAATGTTTAGGTTTGCTGAATGCAGGTTTTGATATCTTACTTGACTTGGCCTTTATTTAGGTATTTTAATATATATTAAACTTTGTAAACAAGCATTTTCCATTTGATGTAAAAATCTGTTGTGTGCCAAGTGGTATCAATCACCATGTTTAAAAGTTCTGCTGTATTTGCCTTCTCATCAAAGTCCTTTCTGAAAATCTCTGACCTTTAAATGTTTTGTAAGGTCAGTTTTTGGATAGACTTGTAGGTGGTACCTGTTTGGTGGGAAGCAGGGAATAGGGTTTGTTTGGAAGCCATCTACATCCTTGTGTCTGTTACTCACAATTGGTTCTTCACATTTGGATGTTAAGTACTCATCTGTGCTAAAGGAAAATTGTCATCCTCTAATTCTTTTCAATCATTCAATTAGTGAAAATCAATTAATGACTTCTTAGCTAACCCATTGACTTGCCTGTTGCATTTCTGTGCTGTCAGGCAGAAAACTATTGCTCATTGACCTCCTTAGGATCTTACACTTCCTATCCTGCTAAAGAGACCAGGCATACCAGATTGTGGAATGGGAGGTGTGTTGCTGTTCTGTAATCTCTCTCATAATTTAGATTTCCCATTGAGTGGTTTTGAGCTTTGTAAAAAGCCTTGGAAATCAACCTACAGTTTCATGCTGGGATTTTTTTTCTTTATAGGAGAAAAAAATAGTGCCAGTCTTGCACATTGCAGCAATGATGTTTACATATTAAAGCATCATCAATCAGTAATTCAGTTTATTTTCTAAACTCTCAAGTGGGTTATTTTTAAACAACAAAAACTTCTTAGTGTTAATTTGTTTGAGAAGTAAGAAAATGGCTCTCTCAGACTGAGACCACTAACATTATTAATAGGAAGAGCCTAGCATTTTACATTTCTGAAAGCATTCTTAGATGTTAAGATGAGCAGTAACCATTATGATCCTGCAGTCGAATCACCTGAAAGACACGCAGCAAAGAACTTCACCCAATGCTTTTGGCATCAAGCCTATGACTGCTGTTGATGCTACTGCAGATCTCTTAGAAAGATATCCAGTCTTGATGTACAGATTTCAGATGATGGAGAATCCATATCACGCCTATAGATAAGTTGTTCTAACTGATAGCTGGTAATTGCTGTTAAAATTTTCTGCCTTGTTGCTAGAATGTGTATGGCTTCAGCTCTCAACCACTAGATCCTGTTATGCCTTTTTCTGCTAGATTAAAGAAATGTCTGCTATTATAAATCTCTTCCACCATGTATAGGTAGCTATAGAACATGACTAAATTACTTAATCTTGGCTAAATTGAGGATACTATAGTAATGAAGAAGCCTAAGTTGACCTGAAAAAACTGCCCATTTGGAGCTCCAGCTGGCAGGCATTGTCCATGGGGACCCAAAGCTTTGTAACTTGCTTTTCCCTAGTCATTTGGAAAACAGGTAGGAAGGCTGGGCAGTGGGTGAATTGTTAGGTAAGGTGACATCATTTGATTATTTGCCAGTGCCTAGATTCCTGTTTATTTTTGGTTTTCATCATCCTAATTTTTATACTAATAAAGCCTCATTTCAGTTTGCCTCTGCTACTTTTCCTGCAGAAGCCATTTTAAGTTGCATCTATAAAATAATTTAATAATTTATAGATAAGCCCACCCATTCCCCCAAGTACTGCAGTACAGATTACACTGTACACCTCAGCAATGACAAACTACTCCAGGAAGCCTTGCTGTGTTGACACAACTTCAGCAAATATCATGGCACATTATTGAACTATTCACTGTCACCATTCTTTTATGTACCACCACATTGCTTGGATTTACTGAGGGAGGAAGAGAGTGTTTACTGAGCATGATTGTGAAATCTTTTGGATTCCTCAAAATAGCATGTGACTGAAATAAATAAAACAAGCCCTGATTTGCTTGAACATACTGTTTTGCTCTAGGTGCATCTCTTGTGAGTAATCTATCGTGAGCAGGTAACAATGCCAGAAATCTTGTGTCCTCAAAAGCCTGAAGTACAATTATTTTTAAGATGGAAGTAACAGAGCAATTAGAGGGAAACTAACATGCATGGAAATAAGGGACCATGCGATCTAGTCAGGCAAGAATCAAACTAAATCAATCACTTTAAGCAAGGCAGGTGGGAAGGTGGACAAGAAATAGAATTTATTTTTGCACACACTGCAAGGAGGCCATGTTATTGGTAGTAAAAGTAAGGGCCAGA